TGCGCACTTGTATGCATGCACGCGTGATATGTGTGGTTCACGAAACGCACACTCATGCATACACAAACACACAAACACACCACAGGCGTTTATGGCGTGTGTTCGGCCGGGTGTGCTGGAGAGGTTTCCAAACCTCCGCGTGGACTTTGATCGCCAGACACTCGACAATCTGCAGTGGCTCGTGGGGCGGGCACAGGTCCGTTCATGATGGCGCCATGCGTAGATGTGTTTGTGTGTGTGTGTGTGTGTCTATGTGTGTGTGTGTGTGTGTGTGTGTGTGTGTGTGTGTGTGTGTGTGTGTGTGTGTGTGTGATGAGGAATAGTCGTGGTGTCGCGTCCAACACCTGCTGCCGTTCTCATGCACTCACCCACTCTCTCACCCACACATGTGCACTTGTCCCATCACGTGAACGTGCAACTGCTTCCCAGATATTCTTTGTGCGGCGGCAGCCCGATGCTGCGAGCTTCGACGCGGCGCTGGTGATGGACACATGTGAGGATACGGCGATGCGCACGGATGCAATGCAGCAAGCGGAAGTGCAGGCCGCTAAGAAGAAGCAAAGCACATGAAGACGTCTGTCTGTCTGTCTGTCTGTCTCTGTGTGTGTGCATTGAGCCCTAATTAAATGACCATCGAATCGCGAAGGATTGCTGTCCTTTTGCCCTCATTTCGCATCATCCCCATCGCCAATACAAACAACTGCACCACTGCACAACACTGTCCTGCTGCACTGTGACGACTTGTGATACGTACTATGCTGAGCCGCGTTGCACGAGGTTGCCATTCTTCATTGCTCCAACTTGCTGACGCTACCACTGCTGCTCCTGTTCGCTCGCTCGCCGCCAAGCAACTTCTCCACCAACACCGCACCATGGCTTCCCAAGTGAAGGTATGTGTGCCTGTGTGCGCGTGTGCGTCTGTCTGTCTGTCTGTCTGTCTGTCTGTCTGTCTGTCTGTCTGTCTGTCTGTCTGTCTGTCTGTCTGTCTGTCTGTCTGTCTGTCTGTCTGTCTGTCTGTCTGTCTGTCTGTGTGAGGTGTCGGTACTGATGCATGTATGAGCGCTAACCTGAACCATGTCACTACCACCCGAGCAGGTTGGCGACTCTCTTCCCGACATCAAGGTGTCCGAGGGCCCAGGCAACGACTTTTCCATTCGCTCGCTGTTCGACGGCAAGAAGGGCATTCTGTTTGGTGTCCCTGGCGCCTTCACCCCTGGCTGCTCCCGCACGCACTTGCCAGGCTACGTCCAGCGCCACGACGACCTCAAGGCCAAGGGATACGACGTAAGCTGTATTTGCATTTTGTATGTGTGTGTGTGTGTGTGTGTGTGTGTGTGTGTGTGTGTGTGTGTGTGTGTGTGTGTGTGTGTGTGTGGTTAGTTAGTTCGAAAGTGAGCGTAACCCTCTAGAGAGAGAGAGAGAGAGATAGACGGACTTCTGGGGTGCTGTTCCTCATGTTGGCACTTGCTCTTCACCCACCACATCAGGTCTTGGCGTGCGTTGCCGTGAACGACCCATTTGTCATGGAGGCGTGGGGCAAGGACCAGAAGGTGGACGGCAAGGTCCGCATGCTCTCCGACACGTGCGGTGCGTTCACTCACATGTCTGTGTCTGTGTCTGCGTGTGCATGTGTGTGTGTGTGTCTGTGTCTGTGTGTATGTGCTTGCTGCTGAGCGTGCTCACATGCCGAAACGTGTACACCCACATGCACATACACATACACACACACTCTCTCTCTCTTGCCCACAGCCGAGCTGACCAAGGCCCTGGGTCTTGAGCTGGACGCTGTGGAGCGTCTGGGCAACGTCCGCTGCCGCCGCTTTGCCCTCGTCATCGACGACAACGTCGTCAAGGTGTGTGTGTGTGTGTGTGTGTGTGTGTGTGTGTGTGTGTGTGTGTGTGTGTGTGTGTTCACATGCATCGCTGCTGTCTCGGCGTTCTTGTTCCATCATTCTCCTACACCTCACCCCTCAACATCACCACACCCCACACCCACCATCTCTCCTTCACTCTCCACAATCACAGGCTGCGCAGATTGAAGAGGGCGGTGCCATGACGTGCTCCCTCGCAGAGAACGTCATCGACCTTCTCTAAACACACACGCGCGCACATGATGAATGGGCTGGGGAGTGATCAGCGGTGGAATTAGAGCGCCAATGCGACACGCAATGCTTTGATTGTCACCATCGTCGTCATCGTCACCCTCATTGGCCTCATTAGCCTGCATGAATGGCGTTGACATCACACCAACCATCACCCCTGTCTCAAGCTGCCCCTTTCGTGCCAGTCAGAGGTGCAAGTTTCGTTATTCATCTTCACACCACACGTCTGTGACAACCAAAGTAAACGATAAATGTTGCCGCGCGTGACAAGTGAAACGATATTAAAGACATGTGCAAAGGGGTACATGGGGCACACGGGTGGTGTGTGCATGATGTGCGAGGTGCAATGAATGGCAAAGGGGGGATGAAGCAAGCTGCGTGGATATGTACACAGATGAGAGAGAACAGGAATCGATTGCACGAGAGAGCCAAGCCAAAGCCACGATCGAGCCGAGTGCAGTAAACTGGCGGGCATGAGAGAGATAGTGTGTGTGTGTGTGTGCGTGCGTGTCTGCACATCTGTATGTGTGCGTGAATGCTACAATTCGACGTCAAAGGAGATGCCATCGTATCCCATGTGGATGTTGAGGTCTTCTCCATCGTCAACAACGCTGCACAGCGCCTGGTCAAACGTGTTGTAGTCAAACTGCACGTGCACATGTGCACATGCGCATGTGTGTGTGCGTGTGCATGTGTGTGCATATGTGCATGTGTGTGTGTGTGTGTGTGTGTGTGTATGTGTGTGTGTGTTGAGGGAACAACGAGGTGAGGAGACGTTGGGTTGGGCTCGCATGATACGCAACAAATAAGCGTGAACAGAACAAGTTCAACAACAACACGAACAGAAAAACAACAACGCCACTACACAGCAAACACCACCAAGGTTCACCACCACCACCACCAAGGTTCACCAACACCACACGGCCGCCAATCGCCCGTGATTGTCCACGCACGTCGTGTGTCATGCCGACGAGGACGGTCCGTTTCGGTTTCACGCGCCGCACAACTTGAACAACCTCCGTCAAACACATGTGCGTGTCGTGTTCCTCCTGTTATCGAGTGGGGTGGTGGGTGGTGAGAAGAGGGCGGGGGAGGTGGTTGGTCGGAGTTGGTGGGCGTGGACCTGAGCGATAACGAGATTGGCATTCAACACAGGTGAACACATATTCATACACACACGCACGCACACACACACACACACA